TCCATCCACGTTGATAACTCTGTCTTATTAAACATAATTTTTGTGCCGTGCAACCCACCCGTTTACACTACAGAAGTCAGTGGGGTCTCTTCTAGCTGCCACGCAGCGGTGCGCTCCTCACCACCATCAAGTTCTAGAACATCTTCATCACTGCAGAACGAAACCCTGTAACCATCAGGCGGCTCTCTCATTCCCAGCCGCTCGCCGACTGGCTTTCTGTGTCTCCGGGTTTACCTATTCCGGACGCTCCATATAAATGGAATCAGACGCTATGCAGCCTTCTGCGTCCGGCTTCTTTCACTGAGCATCGTGTTTCCACGGTTTGTTCACGTTCAGCAGGTGCCAGACCCCATTCCTTCTTATGGCTGAACGGTTTACACTCACAGCGCTTCAGACACCAGGTGGGTGGGGGTTTTTCATCACCGACGACCAATTCTCCAACGCTCAGGACACCAGCTGGGGGTCCTACAGCTCAACTCGGTCCGGACACTAACTACTGGAGTTAGTGCGCAGCCACAGACACAGAGTCAGGGTATCACGTAAGGATCTCTGCCTGGGGCTGCGTCAGCATCCACACGCCCCCCCACCATCTGGGTAACCCTAACCTAGGAAAAGTGCCCAGGGGGCGTGTGTGTGGGCCCACTTCCAGGGGACTGGCAGAGGAGGGGGCAGAGGGTGGAAGGAGACACCCGTTCCTCCCCCCACCCCACCCCCCGCCCTTTCTGCATCCATGACCTTCCTCAGACTCCAGGTCACCTTGATGGCAGCACAGAGTCCTGCTGGGGGCAGGAAGTGTCGTGTGTTAATTTTCTGCTGCTGTCAGCAAATTACCACACGTTTGGTGAGTTAAAAAACAACAAAAAGTTTATTATCCTACTTTTCTACAGATGAGAAATCTGCAATCATTCTCACTGGGCTAAAGCCAAGGAGTCAGCAGGGTCAGCGCCTTCGGGAGTCCCGTAGAGAGACTGTCCTTGCCCTCTGCAGCTTCCGGGGCCTGCCCTCCTTGGCTGGTGGTCCCTCACCGTCAGCGGACCGCACCCCTCCTGTCTGCGCGGTGGGTGGCTGCATGGCCTCCTTCTCAGTGTCCCTGGGCCCCGCATCTCCCCCTCCTCTCTTATTAGGACACCGTCACTGAATCCCGGGCCCACCTTAAACCCAAGAGGACCCCATCTTGAGATCCTTAACTGAATTACATCGGGAAAGACCCTTTTCTGTACTTCCTGGTTGTTCGCAGTCACAAGTCGAGGCCCGGGAAACCCCAGAGCAGTGACCGCCACGGCCTGCCATCCCCGAGGCCGGTCATCCGGTGAGCGCGCACTCATCTGGTGTCCCTCCAGAGCGCCGGCGAGGTGTGGCGTCCAATACCGCTGTCATGAGGACGACGCCCAAGGTGGGCCTCACCCGGGCAGGTGAAGCGCACTCTCTCTCCTGCGGCCCAGCGGCCGGCCTGAGGGCACCGCGCCCTACCAGATCTACGCAGACAGGACGTTAATGAGTATGGGTTTTCTTTGGGGGATGGTGAGGATGTTCTGGAATCAGTGGTGATGGTTGCACAGCCCTGTAAACATACTAAGAACCACTGAATTGTGCTCTCAAAAGGGTAAATGTTACAGTATATAAATTATATCTCAACTTTTTAAATGACAAAGAAATAATAAAATTGTAGCACCGCTGGGCCATAGATGCCTGACCTAAGCTGGTCAGTTAGGTCTGTCTCCAGAGAGCCTGGACAGAAGCTACGTGGAGACAGGGCGGAGCCCCCAGACCTCCCTGTGGGGGAGGCCACGGTCCCATTGTCTCTTGAGACTTGGAGCCAGGCTGCATCTTGAAGTTTCCCAGCTTCCTTTCTCTGCTCTGTCTCTGTTTAAAGCAGCTGGAAACCTGAACTGACCCGCAGGTGCTGGGCCTGAGTCCTGCTGCCACCCACAGGGACAGCCCGAGCAAGGCCGCTGTGGTCCCGGCAGAGCTCTGCTCTTCACTGGGATGCCTCCCTGTTCTCATCTGGGTGGGGGGAGCAGCACCCTGCAATTTAGGGCTGGGGCAGGATCACATCCAGCACAGAGCAGCTCCCAGGAAAGATCCAAGGAAAAACAGGGGGCCCCTGATACAGGCAGAGGCCAGGGGTGGACAGAGAACAGATAGCCTGCCATGTCCCAAGGGTCAAATGCCCAGAGTATCTCCAGCCTATGGCCTGAGGGTCGGGGTAGGGGGATGGTCCTGTTCCAGCAGCCGTGGTCCATTCTCTGGGCTCCACTCCCACAACTCCCTTTGTCTCCACCTCTGAGCCTCTTGGAGCAGTTCCCTACCAGGCAGGGGGAAGGACTTAAGTTAGACATGAGAAGAAACTTTCATCTTCATAGGGGAAAGGGAAGTCAAGGGAAAAGCTACAGGGGAGAAGTCCGCAGGGCCTTGGGCTGCAGGAACAGAGCAGGGCCTGGGGATGGTACAGCTGCGAGTCCCTCCTTGGTCCCTGCCACTGCACAGGCCTCCATGGACCCCCACTTGGGGCTTCCAGAGCTTGCTACAGCCTCCCACCTCCTAGCCTTTCTACATGTCGTTCCCTTTGCCTGGAATGCTTTTCCATCCCACCTGCATGAATACTTAACACTTGCAGATTCAGCTGAGGCACCTGCTCCTCCAGGAAGCCTCCCCTGCCCTTCTCAGGTGATCATTCACATCACACAGCCATTCAGGGGACACATAGTTATGAGCTCTCCACTGCAGGCAGAGCACTTGTCCCTGTGTATGTAGGGCCTGTATTAGAGCTCTTCCGGGTCATCCTGTCCCCAGACTCTGCTATGTCCCCTGCCCAAAGCTGAATGCATGGCATTCACCGATAACCTTTAGCAAGAGAGCACTGAGTGGGGGGCTGATAGGAAGCCAGATGTCAGTAGGTTGGTAGCAGGTGAAGTGGTGTAGATATGGTGCGTGGCTCACTGTATCTAGAAGCTTAGATTTGAAAGGAAAGAGAGGGAACCAGAGAGGGCAACAGAGCAGTGGCAAAGGTTTTTCTTGATATGGGAGAGACCTGAATGGGTATCCAGTCTAAGGGAAGAATGCTAGCAGAGAGGGAGAAGTGAACAACAGAGGGTGGGAGAGCACCAAGGAGTGCATTACTGCTTCTTAAAAACTTCAGAAAGTGGTGAGAGCTTCCTGAGAGGCTAGTGGGGCGAAGCCCACAGCCTTCATTCCTCCATCTATTCATTTATTGCCTTATTGCATTGAGTCTTCACTACTCTAGGAGGTGTGTACTATTATCATTCCTTTTATTAAATGAGGTAACTAAGGCACAGAGAGGTTAAGAAGTTTTCCAGGTCACACAGCAAGTAAGTGGTAAACCTGGGATAATATTCCAAACCTAATCTTTTAATTCTAGTGGAATTCAAACTGACAAGATTCAAGGAATCAAGACAGGAAAAGATAGACCGGTAAGAAACAATGGTGCAAAATGAGCAAAACAAATTAATCAAGCCTAAATGATTGTTTGAAAGTGGTTGTAGAGTAAGTGCAATTGTTTGGAAAGGATTTCTGAAACAGAAAAGACATATGTTTACAGAAGAAATTAATTATCTGGAAATGAAATTCTATACTATTTCAACAAACCCTATAGTGAAACAGAGAAAATAAAATGCCAAAGATTTTGTTTGATTCAGGGAGGAAGACATTGGAAAAATGTTTAATTCTTGGTGAAATATAGATTTTTATTAGCAGTTAGTGAAAACTATTAACCTAAAATAAAGGGGCAAATTACTGAAGGGGGAATGGGAGGGTAGAAAACCTGTTCAGCCTAGAAAGAATTACAACAGGAAATGATGGATCAGTGTATTAATCAGAACATGCAAAATAAGACCAAGCACATGGCTGATAATAATAAATGTAAATGAGTTAAATTCCCCAATTAAAGAACAGGATTCTCACAATGAGAAGGCACACTAAACCCAAGTAAATCCTGTTAACAGGAACCCAGCCACAACAAATTACCTAGAGAGCTAAGAATAAAGAGAGAGGTGAACAAAGACATAAAGAAGGTGGAGTAGCAGTATTAATACCAGAAAAATAGAACATAAAACAAAAGATATTAAGTGGTAAAAGAGTCTTTCTTTTTTTTTAATTTAATTTATTTTTTAATTTTAGTATTATTTTTTATTTTGGTATCATTAAAGTAATATCACAATTACTTGAACAACATTATGGCTACTAGACTACCCCTATTATCAAGTCTGAGTCTTTCTTTTTTTTAACGTTAATTAAAAATACAACTGTGTACAATATATAATGAACTGTTGTGTTCTCCACTATATAACATCAACACACACAACTCAACTGTTAGAAATACACAGAATCATTGTGGGAGACTTTATTACACCTTCTTTTGAACTTTACGAATCAAGTAGATTTTTTTTTGTCAGTAAAGGTATAATTCGAACAGCACAGTTAACAAGTTCTATTTTATATAACAGTATTTTGGCAAGATCAGAGGAAATGATTAGGCAGAAAAGTGGCCTTCGGCAACACTGCCCCCTGGAGGTGCTCTGAGGCTCACTCCACCACAGCTTGAGGTCCTCTAAGGCCACCCTAACCCACATGAATAGAGGCCTGAAGAGCCATCAATAGAGGGTCTTGGGACAAAGCTGGACATCCTGACAACCTAGAAATTGAAAGGTAAATGTGTAAGTCATGGGTATCTTTATTATCTTGATTGCAGTGATGATACATATGTCAAATTTTACCAAATTATACACTTTAACAATTTGCAGTAATTGGATGTGAATTAGACCACATTAAAGCTGTTTCTGAAATATCTAAGCACTTACAGTGACAAAAAGCAGGTCAGTGGTAGCCAGCAACTAGAGGTGCAGGGAGGGAATTACCACAAAGTGGCACAAGGGAATTTAGGGGTGATATAAAATGTTTTATATCATGAGTATGATGGTGGTTAAATGACTGTATTTGTCAAAACTCACCAATTGTATAGTTAAAATGGATGAATGTTATTGTATGTAAAATATGCTTCAGTAAAGCTGATCTTTAAAAATCTAACCATGTGGAAATTGAAATACTCTCTTTTAAATAACTATTGGGATCAGTAATAAAAAAAATAACCCAAGAACAAAACTCCCAGACCAGACGGATTCACTGCTGAATTTTATCACACATTTAGAGAAGACATAATACCCATTCTCCTGAAAGTTTTCTAAAAGATAGAAGAGGAGGGAATACTTCCAAACTCATTCTATGAAGCCAGCATCAGTCTAATACCAAAACCAGGCAAAGACACCACAAAAAGCGAAAACTATAGACCAATATTCCTGATGAACATAGATGCAAAAATACTCAACAAAATATTAGCAAACTGAATTCAAAAATACATCAAGAGGATCGTACACCATGATCAAGTGGGATTCATCCCAGGAATGCAAGAATGTTACGACATTCAAAAATCCATCAACATCATCCACCACATCAACAAAAGGAAGGGCAAAAACCACATGAACATCTCCACAGATGCTGAAAAAGCATTCGACAAAATTCAACATCCATTCATGATAAAACACTCAACAAAATGAGTATAGAGGGCAAGTATCTCAACATAATAAAGGCCATATATGATAAACCCACAGCTAACATCATACTGAACAGCGAGAAGCTGAAAGCTTTTCCTCTAAGATCAGGAACAAGACAGGGATGCCCACTCTCCCCACTGTTATTCAACATAGTACTAGAAGTCCTAGCCACAGCAATCAGACAAAACAAAGAAATAAAAGGCACCCAGATTGGTAAGGAAGAAGTCAAACTGTCACTGTTTGCAGATGACATGATATTGTACGTAAAAAACTCTAAAGAATCCACTAGAAAACTACTAGAACTAATATCTGAGTTCAGCAAAGTTGCAGGATATAAAATTAATACACAGATATCTGTTGCATTCCTATACAATAATGATGAACTAGCAGAAAGAGAAATCAGGAAAACAATTCCATTCACAATGGCATCAAAAAGAATAAAATACCTAGGAATAAACCTAACCAAGGAAGTGAAAGACCTATACCCTTAAAACTGCAGGACACTGTTAAGAGAAATTAAAGAGGACACTAATAAATGGAAATTCATCCCATGTACATGGGTAGGAAGAATTAATATTGTCAAAATGGCCATCCTGCCTAAAGCAATCTACAGATTCAGTGCAATCCCTATCAAAATACTGACAGCATTCTTCAACAAACTGGAACAAATAGTTCTAAAATTCATATGGAACCA